TTTTTCAAGCCCACTTTTACTGGCTTTAGTAGAGTGCCTGACTCATATATCTGTTTTACTCAGAGCACTTTTTGTCTGTTGCCCTGCAGGAACCACATTCTCAGCAACCATTGCCTAATTCTGGATTTGGGGCCCCAGCAGGTCTGTGGCTTCAGCCTCATTCAGTATTCTGTGTTTCAGTCTCTTTTCCACAGAGATGTTTATCTTGTTTATTTTGAACCCAGCTATTTCTTTCTGGATTTCTGTTGTATCATATACAAGGGGAAGGTTAAAAAATCTTCACTTTTTACCAGGCCATTTTGCCGAGATACTTCTTTTCTTGAGGATCTTATATACATATTTTAAAGTGATTTTCCAATTGCTCTATTATTTATAATTTTTGAGAACCAAGTATTGAGGATAGTTGAAAAGAATTCTTCACACTTAAATACGTGAAGAAAAGTCATATTGCATTCTATTTTTTTAACCTACACTCTCTTTGCTTTATTCTCACCAGTTTCTTTATGAAGACAAATATATTCTTTTACATTAGTTAAGAGACAGAAGAGATGAGATCATTAAAGTTGCTGTCACTTCCGCTGCCTACACTGTAAAATGTATGTGATTTCAGAGCATCCTAACAAGGGTCAAAATAACCTATTTCTAAAGTCATGCTTAAGAAATCGAAGATTTCTATTTTGAAATTGAAGATTTTTACCAACGTCTGCAATCTGAAGTTGATCAAACATGCAATCAAGATGCATTGATAATTACAGGTGATTGGAATACCGAAGTTGGAAACAAAGAAGGATCAGTAGTTGGAAAATATGGCCTTAGTGATAGAAATGATGCCAGAGATCACATGATAGAATTTTGCAAGACCAATGACTTATTCATTGCAAATACCTTTTTTCAGCAACATGAACAGCGACTGTACACATGGACCTCACTGGATGGCATACACAGGGATCAGATCGACTACATCTGTGGAAAGAGATAGTGGAGAAGCTCAATATCATCAGTCAGAACAAGGCCAGGGGCCGACTCGGAAAGGACCATTGGTTGCTCATATGCAAGCTCAAGTTGAAGCTGAAGAAAATTGAAACATGTCCACAAGATCCAAAGTACGACCTTGAGTATATCCCACCTGAATTTAGAGAACATCTCAAGAATAGATTTGACACAGTGAACACTAATGACAAAAGACCAGGTAAGTTGTGGGATGACATCAAGGATATCATACATGAAGAAAGTGAAACCAAAAACCAAAAGCCATTGCTGTCGAGTCAATTCCGACTCATGGTGACCAAAGAAAGTGAAAGGTCACTAAAAAGACAGGAAAGAAAGAAAAGTCCAAAATGGATGTTGGAAGAGACTCTGAAACTTACTCTTGATTGTAGAGTAGCTAAAGTGAATGGAAGAAATGATGAAGTAAACAGCTGTACATATTTTGATTTTAAAGGGCAGCTCGAGAAAACAAAGTAAAATATTATAATGACATGTGCAAAGCTTCTGAAACTAGAAAACCAAAAGGGAAGAACACACTCAGCATTTCAAAGAACAGAAGAAAAAATTCAAGCCTCAAGTTGCAATTTTGAAGGGTTCTATGGGCAAAATATTGAACGATCCAGGAAGCATCCAAAGAAGATGGAAGGAATACACAGAATCACTGTACCAAAAAGAATTGGTCGATGTTCAGCCATTTCAGGAGGTAGCGTACGATCGAGAATTGATGATACTGAAGGAAGAAGTCCAAGCTGCATTGAAGGCATTGGAGGAAAACAAGGCTTCAGGAATTGAGGGATTACTTATTGAGATGTTTCAACAAACAAATTCAATTCTGAAACTGCTTACCCATCTATGCCAAGAAATTTGGAAGACAGTTACCTGGCCAACCCATTGGAAGAGATCCATATACATGCCCATTCCAAAGAAAAGTGATCCAGTGGAATGCAGAAATTATTGAAAATACCATTGATATCACATGCAAGTGAAATATTGCTGAAGATAATTCAAAACTGGTTGCGGCAGTACATCGACAGGGAGCTGCCAGAAATTGAAGCCCAATTTAAAAGAGGACATGGAACGAGAGATCATTGCTAATGTCAGATGGATCTTGGCTGAAAGCAGAGAATACCAGAGAAATGTTTACCTGTGTTTTACTGAGTATGCAAAGACACTCAACTGTGTGAATCATAACAGATTATGGATAACATCGCGAGGAATGGGAATTCCAGAAACACTCAATTGTGCTCATGTGGAAACAGTACATAGAGGCAGTTGTTTGAACAGAAACAAGGGGATATTGCGTTGTTAAAATCAGGAAGGGTGTGCGATTGTATCGTTTCACCATACTTAATTTGTTTGCTGAGCAAATAATCTGAGAAGCTGGACTGTATGAAGAAGAATGCAACATCAAGATTGGAGGATGACTCATTAACAACCTGCAATATGCAGATGACACAGCCTTGCTTGCTGAAAGCAAGAGGACTTGAAGCACTTAACTGATGAAGATCAAAGACTATAGCCTTCAGTATGGATTACACCTCAACATAAAGAAAACAAAAATCCTCACAACTGGACCAATAAGCAACATCATGATAAATGGAGGAAGGATTGAAGTTGTCAAGGATTTCATTTTACTTGGATCCACAATCAATGCCCATGGAAGCAGCAGTCAAGAAATCAAACGACGTGTTACATTGGGCAAATCTGCTGCAAAAGACCTCTTTAAAGTGTTAAAAAGCAAAGATGTCACTTCGAGGACTAAGGTGCACCTGACCCCAGGCATGGTATTTTCCATCTCCTCATGTGCATTCGAAAGCTGAACAATGAATAAGGAAGACCGAAGAACAGTTGGTGCCTTTGAATTATGGTGGTGGCAGAGAATATTGAATATGCCATGGATGGTCAGAAGAATGAGCACATCTGTCTTGGAAGAAGTACAGCCAGGGTATTCCTCAGAAGCGAGAATGGCGAGACTTCATCTCACGTACTTTGGACATGTTATCAGGAAGGACCAGTCCCTGGAGAAGGACAGCATGATTGGTAAAGTAGCGGGTCAACAAAAAAAGAGAAAGACCCTCAATGAGATGGATTTACACAGTGGCTGCAACAATGGGCTTAAGCATGGCAAGATTGTGAGGATGGCACGGGACTGGGCAGTGTTTATTCTGTTGTACGTAGGTTCGGTATGAATCAGAACCAGCTCGATGGTGCCTAACTACAACAACAAAGTCATGTTTCACCCCTAACTGAAGAATTATATATAAGACAGGGAAAAACTGGAAGGAAAGTGGGTTTATGGTGCCTTGATTAAAGAGGCTTCCCCAAAGCAATTCTGGAATTATTGCTATGTGTATGCCGTGGAGGTTTTTACAGATCCAGAGCAGTTCACCATGACTGGTTGAGAGGAAGGTATGCTTTTCTTATGTTAAGTGAGAAAAGGGCTTTGTGAAAGAAGAGGTAGACAAGGAGAACTCGTGATAATAGCAAACAGTACAAATAAAAATTTGGGATCTAAAAATTGATGCCATTAAATTTTTTTGTACCTATATACCCTTGGAAAGTACGCATGCACCCTCTTAGAGCATGTTTTTCACAGTTTAAGACTACAGCTTTAGCTCACAGCACTATCTTGATAGGAAGTACTGTGTTAAGTCCAGGAAACTCTCATGCAAGTAACTTGGCATCCATCCTCAAACTGACTTTTAAAAAAAGCTGGGCTAGATGACCTCTGAGGTTCCTTCTAATTCATTTATAAACCAGACTGGGACAGCTGTATTAGCATTTAGATATCTTTTCAGCTACCATGGCTTTAGATAAAATAATCAACAAAGCCTCATCAAATAAAGATGCTCAAAGAGAAAGGTTCTGAAAAGTCAGTCATATTGCTAACAAAATAGAAGTTTATTTCACAATTTATTTGTTTTTCACTATTTTCAACATAAGACTTATCTGGTTAAACATAACTGTAGTCATTTTAACTGTAAGTGGAACTTAGGCATTCTTGTTTAATGACATCATATATTTCACCTGAGCCAACTATGATAAACATTTTCCCATTAACTTTTATTATTAAGTTAATATCTTCCCATAGGTGAAAAAAAATCCCACAGTAAATTGAATTGGAAAAATTTATTGATACAGTTCACACAGTACAGTCAGCCTTATAAAGTTGAAAAAAATGCAACAATTTCTCAAATACAGAATAAATTCTTGACTGTGGCAGTACCACATTTAGAATTCCCTAATTTATACTTGGTACACAAACAACTTCATTTTTAACCTTGTTTGTTTCCTTTTGCGTAGTGAATAAAGAAGGGTAGAAAATGATACTTCTCTGATAGATGCTGCCAACATATATTCAAGACAGAGAAAGCATGACTATAGGTTGGAGTGACTGTAGGTCAAATTTATTTGAATGAATGTAGTTCCTTGTCAGTTCTCTAAGTTAGAAATTTTGAACATAGATTTCATTAAATGCAAAACGTCAGTATATAAAATGCATGTTGTGCAATAATAAAAGTGACTTTGATGTTACCAGTAAATACCACATTGGAGGGGAGATTATAGAAGTGCAGTTCCTGATATTTTGGGCCCTATAAGTATAGAAGCAATTTAAATCAAAAGAATTCTGAAAATAAAGTTAGGTCCCACCTCAGGGAAAAATATAAGTATTTACAATTTCTAAGTCAATTCAAAAGGCCAGTTTGATTTTTGTGTTTACATGTTATATGTATTTGTACTTAATTTTCTAATCAAAGTACTTATTAATAAACTAGGGCTAATAATAATTTTAATGTAGTTAGGAAATATAAATCAGTCATGAAATTTTAATGTTTTTTATATAACTTGTTTTCATCATCATTTCATGTAATCACTAATATATGAATTTGTGACACCATCTAATTAGTAAAGAATTGACCTCAGATTATCTTTTTAAATTACACTAGAATACAGTGTTAAATTTTTAAACTCCAAATTTAATCATTTTTCTTTTTTATTCCTCCTTCCCATAGTAATCAAAGCAAAGAAGCTTTCATTGACTGGGCAAGATATGATGATTCACAGGATCACTTTTGTGAACTTGATGGTAATAAACTATTGTAATTAAATTATTTGAACTTTAACACTTTTATAAGATATTTAAATCAGTGGAAATATAATCTTTTATAGCTTTAATACCCTGGGTTTTGCTGTGTGGATCTTATTATTCATAATGGCATTTATTGAGTGCCTACATTCCAGGCCCTGCACTAAGTGTCTTTAATACATTATTTCTAAACTTTACTGCTACCTTAATAGATATGTATTATTTTATATCTGAGGAAACTGAGTCTCAAAAAGACTAAGTAACTTGCCCAAGATCATACAGTAGTAAGAGGCAGAGTCAAGATTCAGTCCCAGATCTGACTGAATCCAGAACCTGTATTCTTTTCCATTATGACACACCATTTCCTGTGGACTTCAATTCAAGCCACTTAGTTATAGGTCTGTGAACATATTATAAAAGATGTTCACACTGGTACTTGCTGAAGGTCTTAACAGACTAAACTAAAGATGCCTTCCAGCATTGGGGAGGACTCTAATTTGACTTCCCCACAGCCTACTTTCCAAGAATCTCCTGGAAGGGTACGTAGGAGAGTAACCATCACTCTTAATAGAAGATAATTGCAGTGACTCAAAATTTTGATCTAAAGGAGAATGTTCCTAAATAATTGTGCTGAATAGGCTTAAATCATTCATTTGACCTCCCCTTCAGCTTTTACCTTGGTATGGTTATATTTTTGGTGGTGGAAAGCAGTTTAGGATTCAAGCAGGCATGGTTGGAAACAGACAACAGAAGTTCTATTGAACTCATAAAGCATCTAGAATGATCATACTGCTTTTTAAAAGTTTCAAATGTAGAGTTGCACTATTAATTCAAACTATAATGGAATCAGTTTTAGTGAACGTCTACTTAAGGTGAATGAAGAAGACTGTGGGAATTGGGAATGTTACTACCATAGTTTATCTGATTTTCAGCAAGGAAATTTTTAGAATGTCTTGGGTATCTGGATATAATAATGGGCAATTAATAAAATTACCCCCATTATGATATTTAGAACTGGCGAAGGTTTTATCAAAGCAGACTGCTGTACCTAAGTATTCATAACACTGCTTACTCTTTCATTTGATTGTTGGCTGTCATTCTAATTGTGTTTGGTGCTTAACACTCATAGGTACTTCTTTCCAGCTTCTTATTTTGCCTATTCTTTTATTAAAATAAAAAACTTTTAGTAGTGCTTACTTAACTAATTTTCAGATTAAAAAAATTACTTCTGTGAATATATATTACTCTTTTAGTAAACAGGAGCCTAATGCAAAATATTAACTCATTTGCAAAGGATCACTTGCTATAAATAAGTTAGGTCCTAGAGTACTTGTCATTTATATGTAGTGTTAACTACTTTTTTAACATCAGCTTCTTAAATTGTAAAAGTGAGATATTCTATGAGAATTTATATAAAATGATCCTTTAAGACTTTTACAATTACATAATTAAAATATTAGTAATTTTAACATTTTATGTAATTATTATGCATATATGATCATGTAACTAATTGGATTACCACTGCTTTTCTGAATAGTAAAGTTCATCTATGTCCCAGTGATTTATACCTACAATTTTTTTTTTTTTTACTGCCAAGATAGTTTGAGAGTCATTGTTTAGTTATTTCTGTTATATAAATTCAGTGGATTAAAAAAAAAAAATCGAAAGAATATTCACCCCAGGTTTTTAGGGAATATATTCACACTGCCCTGCTTCCTGTTGTTTTGTTGTTGGTATTATCTTTGCCTGAAAGGAAGATGATCCCTAAGATCAAATATTAGGTTCCTAAATAATTTAACATTTAATGTCCTTTTAGTTAAGCTGCTTTCCCTGCCCTATTCTGGTTTTTGTTATTGTCTTTATGCATGGCTTGCTTTTTCCTTCCTTCAGATTTTGCTCAAATATCACCTCATCAGAGAAGCCTGCAACTCAACCTCCCTGTATAAAGTATTAACCACTATCACTCTGTCTCCCTTTGCACTGCTGGGGCTTTTCCCCCTAGAGCAGTAACAATTACAAGACAGTAATTTGTCTGTTTGTTGTCTGTCTTCGTCCAGCTAAATTGTTAGCTCCTTTAAGGGCAAGAGCTTGGACTTTTTGGTTCACTAATATATCCCTAGTGCTTATAACAGTGCCTGGACATGTTAGATGCTCAATAAATATTTGCTGAATGAAGTAATAAGTTAATAAATAACCTAAATAGCATTATTTTCCCTCTTAAAAGATGTTCATTAATAAATTAAAAATGCTGTTTAAAACAACAGTTTTTAAACCTGGCATATCGAAATTACCTAGAAGCTTTATAAACTATAGATTCTCAAGCCTCCAGCTTACTGAATCATGTTTTCACAGTTAGTTGTTAGCAATTTGGGCTAAAGTTGGTGATGGAGGACTATAGGCTCAATACTGAGTCCATAACATAACATTTTTACCTATGACCATAAGCAGAAAGCTGTGCACTAAGTTGGCCTATGGTACCATTATGTTTTAAGAGGTATATGGGTTAGGAGGCAGGGAGGAGTATCTATCAACCTAGAGGATGCAGTGTGGCCTCTCATGACGTTAATACTAAATTAGGAAAGTGAAAAGAAAATTCAATTGGGAAAAATGGTATACTTGAGCAGGAGGAAAAAACAGTTCAATTTGATGAGTTCACAGATTCAGGGATTTTGATCCGTGGAAATTCTTTGAATCCTTAGATAAATGGTTAGCCTGGTCAAATAGAACAGCTTTGGAGTGTTGTTGTAGAGGGAGGAAGAAGAGAAAACATTTTTGGGGGAGGACATAGTAGGGTCCAAAGAGAATTATCTCATTGAATGATGTGGCTGTACAAATGGAGAGAAATTATAGTTTAGGAACAAATTAATTAAACTCAGTGTCATAGGTGGCACATAGGCAAGGGTGGGCAACACCACTGGTGTGTTTATTTATGGTGACAGCTCAACCTGTATTTGCATTCTCTCACACTCCTCACTCTGGATTCCATGAAATTCTTCGTATAGGTCAGGGGTTGCCATACTTTTTCTGTAAATGGACAGATACTAAATCTTTTAGACTTTCTAGACCACACGACTACTTAACCCTGCCATCGTAGCATGAAAGCAGCACATTACGCAAATGAGCATGGCTGTGTTCCAGCAAAACTTTCTGTATAAAAATAGGGGGAGGGCCAGATTTGGCCCCGGGCTGTAGTTTGTCAATCCTTGTATAGGTTAACAAAACCCACTCTTATCATAATTTGAAAAAAAAAGAGAATGAAAAAATTTTAAAATTTTTTAGAAATAATTTTTGATTCAGTTAAGGAAATAAACATTAAGAACATTTAGAATATAAGTTTTACTTAAGAAAGTAATTATAAAAAACTGATACAATGATTTTTGTCTTATGGTTTTTCAGCTCCCTTAAAATATACTTTATATCATTATGCTTTAGTATCTGAATCATTTTGTTTTGTTTTTTATTCATTGGTTAGTTGGTTTTGTTGGGGCAAGGGGTTGATACTAGTCTAGTCTGTACTTTCATAGATGATCCTACATACATGTAGGCTTACATGTACACACACACATAAATTCTTTATTCCTGTACACATACATATATATGAGTTAGTGAATGTATGTTTATGTTGTGTCTAATAGTATTTGTAAAGTTTATATACATATAGATGCTGTGAATGAATTTATCCAAGAACAGCTCAAAGAAAAATATATAATTTAGAAATTAGATAATGAAATTTAAAACATTGTATTGGTTTTTACTAAAAGCCATACTTTTAGTAACCTCATAATTTGTATTTTTAAATTAAGATTTTAAAAATTAAATTGTTATTTTTAAGTCTTGAGTCAGTCTTTGTTCTTGGACAGTTTCTGTCTCTCCATCTTTAAATTAGCTGTTTTCTGTGTCTTAACGTGTAGAAAATCTTTATAATTCAAGGGTTGGAAATAGAGCCAGTATTCTTTCTGTAATCTGAAAAATCATGTTCCCATTTTCTATAAGTTATCTACAAACCCATTTAATAATGATAATTTGTAATTTCTTTGTACTCTCCCTACATTATGAAAGTACCGGCTAACTCTTGGAAGGCATGGATTAGCCCTATATTTTCCCCTTATGATTATGGACATTTCCAATCTATGCTCATTGAATGTCCAATGAATATTGTTGACTACAGGAAAGTATACTGTCAGGTAATGAAGAGAAGAGGCATGTTTAATGACCATATTTGGCCCCTGTTTTAAGCCAGGTGCCTATGTACTATTGATTTACTCCCATGACACCCAAAGGCAGTAAGCATGCAAATTAAGGAATACATATGTGCCAATATATATGGTACTTGAGCTTATATACATTATGATCATACAATTATGTAGCATTGTTATTACAGTTTTTCTTTAATTATAAAAGCATGTGTTTCCCTCAATAATTAAACCTCAACATGTGAGCCTCAGTAATTAAGACCATTTTTGTTTATCTTTTGTATCCTTCAAAGATATGTTACAATGTTGTCCAAATAGTAGAGATCTAATAAATACTAACTTGGGTTTCAACATAAAAAATGATTATTTAATTTGAAGTGTTTTAACAAGTTTTTGAAAGTTGTGCCTACTATGTATTGTTTGAGGGGGGAAGCTCTTTAGTATATTAATATTGGTAAAAATAATGGACAACATGTATTTTTTTTTTAATAGAACATGTGTAGCTTTGTGAAGAATCAGATTTGAATCACAAAGTTATTGAGACATTTAATCTTAAATTTACTTATAATTCCAAGTAGAGAGTAGTAGGGAAATCTCTGTAATACAACATATGTTAAAAAATAAATGCTGCTAAGCATGTCTTCAGGTAGGTATATACTTAGAGAAGATATCACATAAAATATTAACACAGGTTATGATTCTGTTAGATCTTTTCAATCCTAAGTGGCTAAAACTTGGGAAATGATTAATGCCTCTAATAAGGTGAGGAATGTTACATTACTTAAACGCGCACCAAGTATCCAAAGGAAAAGAAGTTATTTTTCCTTTCTCAAATAATTTGTCCAGGTTATTATAAATCCTGGGTCAAGTACAGTCACAAATGTGCTAACTACTGTACCATTTTAGTTGGAGATTACTTAAAAAGCATTGCATTTCTCTAACCTTTGGGTAGTCATGTTTGCTTTATAATGCTGAATTTTAGATAAATAGTGAAATATGTATGGTTTTTATGAATTGTTTCTTGTCAGATGAGAGATCTCCAGCTGCTCAATATGTAGACCTATTGCTGAACCCAGAGCGTTACACTGGCTATAAAGGGCCTTCTGCGTGGAGAGTGTGGAACAGCATCTATGAAGAAAACTGTTTCAAGTAACTGAAGGGGGTAGGGGAAGGAGGAGGAGTAACTAAGGGGGGGAGGGGAGGTGGGGGAGTATTTTTTTCTGTCGGAAAAAAAATTACACATAAAAGCCATACCATTTTATGTTTGGGTTTTGCGCTTTGTTTCAGGCCTCGATCTGTTTATCGTCCTTTAAATCCCCTGGCACCCAGCCGAGGTGGGTTTTCTGTGCATTTTCATGCTTTTAGGGATTGTTCACAAAATGCCTTTGTAACTAAACCTTATATCCGAAAAAATAACTTTTGCTTAATTTGAATTATCAAAAGTATAAGATTAGTTCATAGTTAAATATCAAGATTTCGTATTATACGTGTTCTATGTAATTACTGTCTTTCTGTTTGCCTAATTACTGTCATGAGTGCCATCTATCTGCCAGACCCTATACTAGGAGCTTTCTGTAAAATAGAGTATGTGAGTAATCCAAATGTATCAGACATTTCCTGGGGAGCTCTTAAAAATCTAGATGCACAGGCCCTACCCCTTACCAATTAAATGAGAATCTCTGGGGATAGGACCCAGGTGTCATTATTTTTTAAACTCCCCAGATAACTCCAGTATGCAGCCAAATTTGAGAACCAATGGCTGATAGCAGTGCTTGTCAAACTTTAGCATACGGATCACTTCGGAGCCTTGTTAAAATACGATTCTGACCCGATTCTGAGCTGGTAGGTCTTGGGTGGGGCCCGAGATTTTAACAAGCGTTTGAGTACGCCCAGGGTACTGATCCATGTACCACACTTAGAGTTGTAAGGTTGTAGAGAAATTTCGGAAAGTTAGGTTGCCTACAGCAGTACTCTAGACTGTGCTGTTCAATAAGGTAACCAGTTGCCACATGGGGCTAATGAGCACTTAAAATACAGTTTGTAACTGACTTAAAATTTTTTTTTCATCTTAGTCAATTTAAATTAAAAAACTGAAGCAGTATATTCTTCCGTTAAGCAACTTTATTGTTTTGATAGGTCTGCATTTTACTTTAATTAACCCTTGTATCATTTAGGTATTGTTGGAGCTTGTTCAGTATGAAACTACTGGGCACATCTTCAATCTGTTCTCAGTGAGGAACCCTGAAAGTGACCTGCCATTTCAGTGTTTTCTTTAGACCAAGATTGATTTAAGAAATTGAATTTTCTGGTTTAGATTTGTATCTTTAAGCCTTTCTGAGATAGACTTGGAAAGTTTGGATGGATGGACTACTCTTAGATGCTCACTGTATCACAATGTAGCAAATATTCTTCTTCAAATTCATGCTGAAACTGCCTAGAGAAGGGAATTGGGTCATGGAAAAGGAGTGCATGGTTTCATATCTTTTGTCTCTTTTGCTACATTTACCTCATAATGACTTTTTTAAAAAGTTAATTGCATTAAAATAATTTAACAGTATTTTACATCTTTCTTTTTGCTTGTCAGAAATCAGATCATCCTGTCTGGGATGGGGTGTGTGTGTGTATATAAAAAACAAAGATTTTTCTTATAAAAATGGAAACACAATCTTTTGTTACTTCTTACCATGCATATTGTGTCCACTTTCCAGGTCATCAGATATTCTTCCCAGCATGCTCTTTATGGCCATCATATGCATGTATCATAATTTCTTTAAACAGGAGCCTGTTGTTAAACATTTAGACTGTTCCAAATTATAGAGAATATTGGGATAAACGGCCTTGCAATTTTTGTTTTTGCACACATCTGTCTTCACCACTACTTTTAATTAAAATAAATGCTTCCAATGCATTTCTTTTTTGAAGCTGGTTTTCTTCCTCATATAAATCAGGGTTAGGAAATCTTTTATTTATTAAGCTGAGCCACTGATTCACAGCGGAAAAAATGGAATGTAACAAATAAGTAAAAAAGGAAACTAAGTTAAATGTTCTGTTTCATCTTATTAAGGTCTCTGTGTTCTCAGAATAATAAATTTTTGTTATAAAAAATCAAACACAATGGAATTTGTATAAAGTAAAAAGTTCATTGTTGGCAGTTTGCTGTGTACTCTTCCAGACATTTTCATGAAAATACAGGGGACATATTTATGTATGTGTCTCGATGTTCTCTGTGCACACTGTGTTTTACATAAATTGGGTTACGTTGTTCTGCAGCCTACCCTTTTCTCTAATAAAATATCAGATACAAGATCTTTATATCTCAGTATATATCATCTTTTTCTGTTTTCAGCTTAAATGTTTTAATTATACAAAATTTTATAACAATTGAAGCAATACAAAAGTTACATAATGTAAAAAAGGGGAAAGCTCTCCTTTCCCCCTCCCCGCTAGTATCCCCACTCTGCCTCCACACAGTTTCTGTGCCATAGTGTGGGTTTGGAAGGTATTCTTCCAGACCTTTTCTATGATTACTTACTTTTAAAGCAGAAGATAAAATTGTTCATTCAGTAAAACCAGCAAGTCCGCAAGATGTTTTCACAAGCGTTGCTCTGCCAATTTTTTAAACATGTTGCTGTAAAGAAAATTAGCTTAGCACCCTTACAAAAATACCTTGTGTGGGGAGGGTGCAGTTGGCAAACAAATGTAGAAGGTGTGCATTATTTGCGTAAAAATATGGTAGAGGGAGGGAAGAGGAGAAAAGAAGAATGAAAGAAAAATGAAAGAGGGAAACAAGACTAGGTAAAGGAGAGAATGAGTATTCCATGAAGTAATTAAATGACACACTGTTAATTATCAATTAACAGCTCTTCGATCTTCTTAACTGTTTCTTCCACACTGTTCTTGAGCCATAGAGGTTAGGCTTCTGGAACCATTTTTTCAACAGTTTTTGAGCAACAGAACCTTTTTTCTAAAAACGAAATCGTAGAATCCCACGTATAAAGCTCATAAAAGGCAGAGCTGCTGTGGATCCTCCAAGCCCAGCCATCTGGCCTCTTCCTCACCTGTAGGAGGTCCTGAAGTGCTGCAGTGAGGGTTTCACCAATTAGAGTTTGTAAAATAATCTTATTAATATATATGCACTGAAGAGCAGTTATTTAAAAAGGAAATGTATTCCAGCTTGGAACAATAATGTTCAGAGAGGATTGTGTAATAATGATTAAAAGAGTGACTTTGTATATTTGTCAGTTAACTATTGAAACTAGTTGTCTTCATGACTATTTTTAGTTGTTTTCAGATATTTATTGTATAAAACATAGGTGAAATCTGGCACTCTTTTTGGCCTGTGTTCTTATTAAGAAGCCTCATTTTCAGCATGACTATCCACTGACCAGGCTTCATGGTAAAAATTAATAGGTTAACAAACAGCAAGTTTTAATCTCATATTAAATAGAATTGGAATCTGAACTGTGTAAGACATTTTCTAAAATGCTTTCTATTATTCTCTCTTCCAGGAGAAGATGATGGTGAGTTAAAACTCTTGTGTTTGTGTTTGCTTCAGGTATACAGGAAGTGTTCTTAATGATCAAAATTTGATTTTTCCTTTCTTTAATTAAAAAGAAAGTATTTTTCCTCTTTTTCTTCAGAGAATAGCTACCAACAAATGGTGACAATTTAAAAACAAGAAGAACTTTTTTTTTTAATAATACAAAGTTATCCTGTGTTAAAAAAGAGTATAAACTCCATTTTTCCTAAGTTTTTAGTATAGAAACTAAGTTTGCATTCCAGGTTCCCCATTTTCTGGTTTTTATAATCTACTTGATATATTCTGAGGGAATGGAGATAAATTGATAAAGGCAGTTTTATCAGATAATTTGCCTTGGGACCTCTTTATTTTCTTAAACTGATTTTGAAATTTATAACCTGTTAAAACTATGTTATGTATGTTGTATGTGTCTATATTTTATGTGCACACTGTGTTTTACGTAAATGAGTTATGCTATTCTGCAGCCTGCTGTTTTTTCTAATAAAAGATTAGATATAAAGATCTTTACATTTCAGTATATGTAGATAATCTTTTTTTTTTTATTTTCAAAGAAATTAGAAAATTTATTGACGACTTACCAACGATTGGTTACTGAATGAATGCGGATCATAAGGTGCTCCCAAAACAGCCAAAATAATTATTTCAAATGGGTGTTTATTTATCTATGTTCAAAGGCACTTGATAGGCTTTGTGAAGGATAGAAAGAAGTATGAAACGTGATGCCTCCCCTTCAGGAGCTGACAATAGATAGCAGAAATGATAAGTGCTATACCTGAATAAAGGAGCCCTGGTGGCGCAGTGGTTAAGTGCTTGGCTGTTAACCGAAAGGTCAGTGGTTCAAACCCACCAGCTGCTCTGTGGGAGAAAGACGTGGCAGTCGGCTTCAGTAAAGATTTACAGCCTTGGAAACCCTATGGAGCAGGTCTACTGTGTCCTATAGGGTCACTATGAGTTGGAATTGATTCAATGGCAATGGGCTGGTTTTATACCTGAATAATGATAATGAAATAAATGAGTGCTATATACATGTACAAACAGTAGATGATACAGCTTTTTGGAGATGGAACAAATTGTACCTCACTGGAGTGATCTAGGAAAACTTAATGGAGGAGGTGGCATTTGAGATGAATTTTTAATAACGGACAGATTTAGGTTGGAGGAAATAGCATGAACGGAAGAGTTGAGAAAGGAAAAGTCAAGCATCTTTGAGAAGACAGTAAGTAGATCCATCTAGCAGTAGGAAAGACATTTATATTTAAAAACAAACAAAAAATACCTGTTGCCTTCGAGTCGATTCCTACTTGTGGCGACCCTATGTGTTACAGAGTAGAACTGCTTCATAGGGTTTTCTTGGCTGTGATCTTTATGAAAGCAGGTCATCAGGCATTTCTTTTGCACCACTTGTGGGTGGGTTCTAACAGCCAACTTTTAGGTTGGTAGCTGAGAGCAAATGGTTGGTGCCATCCACGGACCTTCAACTTTTATACAGGGATGGTTAAAATTAGAAAGATAGGTAGAGAGAAAATTATTGAGGACCTTGGGAGTTAGACTTATCCTGTTGACAGTTGATGTTTTTTGAGTAAACAAGTTATATAATGATGAGTGATCTTTAAGAGTATGTTGAATGAATGAATCTATAAGAAGATGTTTATGCTGTTTTGCAAAGTGTGAAGACTCTCAGGAGGAAAAGAAATTCCCCACTATCTAATTTATCCCCTAGACTCCTTGCTAAGCTCATCTCTGTGTTGCTTTTTTCTTACCATGCTTTTCTCAATTAAAACAAGTATTAATAAGATAAGGATAGGTTAGTTAGGAAATCCATTAAGAGTATTGATTCTTACTGACTGCCATCTTTTTATTTTTTTTTAAACTCAGAAGAACACTATCGGGCCAGGAATAGTTCCTTTAACATTAGTGCACAGATAAGTCAAGCCCCTCCTTATTTTATTCACCTTTTCTGAAGGATTGTCTTGAAAATTAAGAGATTTCTTATTATCGTTTGAAACTCAGTAGTCTTAGATAATTGAGGATACACACCTAGTTTTATTGATTCAGGAAACATAGGATAATTAATAACTGAAGTTTTGTATTACAATTCAGTATCTGTTTTGGAAATTTTTTAAAAAAGTGCTAATGGTTATTATCATCAAAAGCAAATTTAAGGTTATTGAACTATCCTCCCCCATGCTTTTGGATATTTAAGCCTTCTAATGGATAAGATTTACTTAATATTTTGACTGAAATATAGTGTTTTCTCAAAAATTTTAATAGTCAAAATATCATGTATAAGAATGTTCTCCCAGTATTACTTAAATTACTCATAGGCTATGTTTTCTAAAACCATATGTCTGTTTTTCCACTTTACACAAATCAGTAGAAATTTCTAGAGATACTCCTTAACATGTTATAATGAGAAATATTTGTTCTAGTTTGTAGATGACCATTTTAAATATTTTAACCCAGTTCTTTCCCTGTTCTTTAGGAGAATCATTCTACACATGGCTAGAAGGTAAACTTAATGTCTGCATTCTAAATATATTGGCTTCTTGTAAAAAAAATGCACTGATTTAGTTAATAAATTTTTGTAAGTTTTAGGATTTCATTACCTAGACAGCTGACTTAGTGTTTGGAAGAAAATAACATGTGCTTTAAGGTTGTTATATTTTGGGCTAAAATTATTTGAAAATTTTGAGGATATTGACTAGCCAAAAACCAGTGTTATAAAAATATACAGGCCAGGTACTGTCCTCAGGTGTTCACAACTGCTTCCCAGTCTTATTTTCATTCTGTATGTAGTACTCATCTAAAATACTTTTCTAGTAACCAGTATGCAAATCTGTTTTTAAAGTAGAGACATTCATTTTGGAAGGAAGTACTTTTTTTATATCTAAAATCGAGGGAAGGTAAATTTGAATTCAGAAGGTTTTAAACATATTTGCACATGTTAATATAATCAAAACCTGTTTAACTAAAGGATAAAGCTATCTTAGATCCTAATGTATACAGTCATGCGCCCTATAAAGTCCATTTGGGCAGTGTCCCACCGCATATACACCTGCAGTCCGGGCACACCCTCCTAGGGAATGCCCACAGCCAGACTCAGCAGCAAGCCTGTCCTGCTGCTCCCCACCTGCAGGAACAGGTGCCCTGCCATTGAGAGGAGTGGGCACCCGCTCTTGCTCCTGAGCACCCAAGGTCGACAGGCCTGTGCCTGGAGCCTCCCTGCCATGACCTTCATGGGCCTGCAGGGCGGTGCACCAGGCTGGCCAAGCGCTCACCTAAGATGTCTGTAGCGGGAGCTGCCCGGGCCACACGCCACACAGCAGTGTGCCCGGGAGCGCCATGGACCCAGATGCTCATACAACATCCGAATCACATGGTGTCCTATTTCACAGGACATATCGTGGACATAAGTGACACATGACTATACTTTTGTATTCTCATATTTTCCAATGTTGAAAATATTAGTTATTAATGGAAAGCTGAAATATTCTCGAATTTTGACACCTTTGATTAATAACTGGATATATGATACTTTTTAAAAATTTACTTTAGCAAATTGTCATTAGTTCATAAAACCAAAAATTAAAATATATTGATGAAAGACAAGTTGAATGATATAGGAAGATTGATATTTCATAGCCATAACTTCATATGGAAATCTACAGAGTTCAACTTTAAGTAGTTAATCCTATTTTATGTTTGTTAGTCCATCATGTTATTTTATGAACATGATTTCTCTTTTATTTTTAATGAACTATGTGCATATGGAGCCCTGGTGGTGTTGGCGCAGTGGTTAAGAGCTACAGCTGCTAACCAAAAGGTCAGCAGTTTGAACCCACCAGCCTTTCCTTGGATACCTTATGGGTCAGTTCTGCTCTGTCCTATAGGGCTGCTATGAGTTGGGATTGACTCGATGGCACAGGTTTTTATGTGCATATATTGGCCATTATTAAGGTAAACTTTTTTTTTTT